AGAAATAGGAACCCTTCTCCACTGCTGGTGGGAATGCAGACTGGTGAAACCACTGTGGAAATCAGTTTGGAGATTCCTCAGAAAACGAGGTCTAGAGGTCCCATTCAACCCAGCTATCCTCCTGCTGGGTATTTTCCCAGAAGATCTAAAAACATCATATCACAGTGATATATGTTCACCTATGTTCACAGCAGCACAATTTGTAATTGCTAAAATGTGGAAGCAAGCCAAATGTCCATCCACTGAAGATTGGATAAGAAAATTCTGGTACTTTTATATAATTGAACATTAGTCAGCTGTAAAGAAAGATAAACTCGAGCCTTTTATAGGTAAATGGTCACACCTAGAGACCATACACATAAGTGAAATAAATCAAACATACATGTGCAAGCACCGCATTGTTTCACTAGTGTAAAACCTGAAAGAGTTAATTTAAACTAGGAGATATGATAGACATTGTGAATTGATAGGAAAGCACTCAAAGGTAAAGGGCAACTTGGATGTGGGGATAGAGATGGGAAAGAAGGAGATATTTTGTATGTAGGTATATGGAGGATAGTTAACACGGCTGTTCTACTGTCTTGTATTTCTTTGCTGAAAGAAACTATCAATGAGTCCTTGGTTGGTCAGCATTGCATGTCTATATCTGTTTTCATGAGAAACCACTTTGAAGATATCAATCTGTAATATAACAAGTATTGTTAATTCCCTACCACTTTGTTTTTAACTCTGTACTGTCTGTACTGTTCTTTTGCTATTTTGTAAAATGTTGTCTGTCTGTTAATGTTTTCCTCCTTTTATTTTTAAAATATAAGAATATAAAAATAAAATAAAATGATTGGTTATTCTAGAATATAAACACAGTAACAAAAACAAAACCCAGTGGATATAAAAGTTTCAGAAAGTATATTTTATCACTTTGAGTATACGTGTATAACTACAAGTAACTTGCCTGACAAAAGGTAATATATATGTTAAAATGACAAAATTTACACACCACAGCTTTGATGAATTTACTAAAACACTTTAAGTATGCTTTATTATCAATCTTATAAAATAGAGTTTGCACTGTTAGAAAGACATGAAAAATTTATCTTCATTTATTCTTTATCTAGAGGCAATGCATGTTTTCTCTACTTTCTGTGTAATCTTTCTAGTCAGCAGAGATTCTGTAACTTACAAAAATAATATTTTGGGCTTTACATACTCCATTTCAAAAGAAATAGTTATTTGCCTTTAAAAGAGCTAAGTTTACTTCTAACATGTTCATGGCAAATATATTTTCACTCTGATAAATAAGTAGCTGTACTACAATCTCTGTAGTTTTCAGATGCTTACATAACTACACTTTTATAGTGGACTGATTTGTGTCCAAAAATAGATACTTTGCAGTTCTAAAATCTAGTTCTCATGAAGGTGAGATTATTTGCAAATAGAGTCTTTGCAGATGCAGTCAAGTTAAAATAAGATCATACTGGATTATAATAAATTAGAAAGAGTCTTGTAGTTCTGAGGCCCTACAATAGCTTTTCCTCTTACATATTTCTAAAATTTACTTTGCTTAAATTTTATCCTTTATACTTGAGACTCATCTGCGGGTGGCTAGTGCCAGTCTTCGGGCTGGCTAGCTTCCTGCCTGGTGGCTCCCGGAGAGTGGGCCCCCAGCGCACGGGGAGCCTCAGGCGGGGAGCGCTGGTCTTTGGACCAGCGACTCACTCCCGGCCTGGTCGTTCCCTGGAAGGAGGGCTTCCGGCGCACAGGGAGCCGTGGGTGGGTAGCGCCAGTCTTCTGGCTGGCTA